CCATGCCCCGGATGCCGGTCCCTGGAGGGGTGTGGTGCCGCTGGTGACGTTTTCCCACCCCAGTCAGGCTGGGGATGTTTCTCGGACCCTGGAGGTCACCCCACTGGGAGGTCCGCCAACGTGCAGCCACCCACTGCTGAGGGACCTCTGCGGCTGTACGGCCACAGCGTGGGGCTGGGGCCGGGGTGCAGCAGCATGGGCGCCTTCGTGTGCAGACCTGTGCGTGAATCAGGCAGCGGCGGAGGAGGCGGAGAGCACCCGAGCGGGGATGTTCAAGCCAGGTTTTGCCTGGTTTCGTCCTGGCCAGGTCCTGCATGTCCAAGCGGTGCCACCTCCTCCACGTGGAGCTGCTCTTCCCTCAGCAGTGTAGCGCAACTGCATGTTGGTGCGTCTCCCCCTGTGCTGTGTGTGCTCGGGGACCTGATGTGAGCAGCTCTGGTGGGTCCTGGGTGTGCATCACCCCTGGGTGTTCCCTGGGGCCATCCGGGATGCAGTGAGGAGCGAGCAGGGTGCTGCGCGGCTTTGCTGCGGTCGGGAGCTGGTGGGTGCGCTGGCTTCCACCCCCCAGCCCTGCCTGCCTGGGGCCATCTTCCCCCCTCCCACACAGGACAGGATCCTGGCCTGAGGGCATGACAAGAGTGTCAGCTAGTCCCTGCTTTGCCCTGCTCCACCATGTCTCCTGGGTTTGGAGAGCGCCCTGTGTGATGTCATCCTTTCCACCACCCTCCTTTTGTCAGACCCTTCATCAGCTGGCCCGTTCTCCAGCCATTTCCCCACAAACAGTGATGCTGCCGCGAGGGCGCTGGGGTGCTCTGGATGTCCTCAGAGGGGTCCATCAGGCCACTGTGCCCAGTGCCAAGGGCTCAGCAGGGTCCAAGCACCTCCCCGTGGTGCGTATCATGCTGCGAGGCAGCGCAGGGCAGCGGGTGGGGGTTGAAGGGGTCTGCTGTGTGGCCTCAGTTTCCCTCAGTCCACCCTGCTGGCTGCCAGCGGGTCAGGGCAGGCTGTACCCGGGTTGTGTCAGGGCAGAGCCGCTCTAGGTGGAGTTCGTGGGGTGCAGAGGAGGAGGAGCACCTCTCCCGGGCTCTGGTACGCAAGGTGACCTATGGGGACATGAAACCTCAGCTCAGCCGTGTGCCCCGAGATGGTGCTTGTGGGACAGGCAGCTCCCCAGGTGAGGTCCCCAGGGACACATTGGGACAAGCTGACTCCACCCTTGGAGCTGCTCAAATACCCCACGGTGGCAGAATCCCATGGGGACGCCCAGGCTGGACTTATCCTGGCCCTCTGGTGCTGCCGGGCCCGATCCTGCCATCCCCAAGCACAGGGCCAGGAGGGCAGAGAGGGAGTGAGTGGGGCTGGCTGCTGAGTCAGCGCCTTCTCGCTGCGGTGGCTGCAGGAGCGCTGACGATCCGTGTGTGCTGCAGGGCCTTGGGCATGCAGGCATCACTCTGGAGCTGATCCCTGAGGCTGTGCACATCCCCTGGAGCTTTCAATGTCCTGGGGAAGTCCTCGTGCGACCCCAGGATCACTGTGATTAGGGGGGGTCCTTTTGGGCCTTGTTTTTTGTTGGGGGTGGAAAGGGAGGTAGCATTGTATCCCACTGCAGTGGTGGCAGCATCTGCATGCCCGTGAGCGAGGTACTGCCCTGACTCTGTTCATGGGCATGAAATGGAGCCATGGCAGCAGCATTTGGCATCAGGACTGCGGGGTGCCATGTGGCTCGGGG